GGGGGGCTGAGGTCAGAGGATGACTTGAACCAGGAGGTCGAGGTTGCAGTGAGCTATGATCATGCCACTATACTCCAGCCTGGGTGACAGACTGACACCCTGCCAAAACAACAATACAAAAAAAAAAAAAAAAAAGTATCACCTGGTAGGTATTTGGTGTGCATTTTGTGAGGATTAAATGAGACCATAAAACCAGGTTAGGTGGCTCATGCCTGTAATCCGAGTATTTTGGGAGGCCAAGGCAGGCGGATTGCTTGAGCCCAGGAGTTCAAGACCATTCTGGGTAAGATGGGAAAGCCCATCTCTAGAAAAAATACACACACACGCATACACACAGGCCGGGCACAGTGGCTCATGCCTGTAATCCCAGCACTTTGGGAGGCCAAGGTGGGTGGATCACCTGAGGTCTGGAGTTCCAGCCTGGCCAACATGACAAAACCCCATCTTTACTAAAAATACAAAACTTAGCCAGGTGTGGTGGCAGGTGCCTATAATCCCAGCTACTCAGGAGGAATCCTTTGAACCCAGGAGGCAGAGGTTGCAGTGACCTGAGATCGCGTCATTGCACTCCAGCCTGGGCAACAAGAGTGAAACTGCATCTCAAAACAAACAAACAAACACAAATTAGCCAAGCATGGTGGCGCACATGCTACTTAGCTACTCAGCTACTCAGGAAGCTGAGGTTGAAGGATCACTTGACTCCAGGAGGCTGAGACTGCAGTGAGCTATGATCACGCCACTGCACTACAGCCTGGATAACAGAGTGAGATCCTGTCTCAAAAAGAGAGAGAGACAGAGAGAGAGAGATCGATCACAGCTAGAGCCACTGGTGCACAGGAGGCTTTCTAAAGGGTTAGTTGCTATCATCACCATCATTGTCATTTTCATCATCATCTGTAACCTCTGGCTAGTATAGTGGCTTGCGTATTATAAGTCCTAAGTAAATGTTTGTCAAATAATGATAATAACTGTAACTCATATTAAGTAAGTGCTTACTAGGTTCAGACACTTTTTTAAGCCTTTTATGTGTCCATCCATGGGGTAAGTGGTAGTATTATACCCATTTTACAACTGGAGAAACTGAGGCTCAATGAAATAAAGTGACTAGCCCAAAATGAAATGGCTAAGAAGTGCCAGAGGCCACACGCAAGCCCGGTCCTTGTAACTCTGGGGCCTATGGCATCAGAGCCAATGCTAGAGAAGGACAAATACTTCACAGAGGTGAACTCGGGAAATAGAGAGTCACCGCTGGGTGCAGTGGCTCACACAGGTTGATCACTTGAGGCCAGGAGTTCGAGACCAGCCTGGCCAGCATGGTGAAACCCCATTTCTATTAAAAATACAAAAAAGTTAGCTAGGCATTGTGGCACACGCCTGTAATCCCAGCTACTCGGGAGGCTGAGGCATAAGAATCCTTTGAACCTCAGAACCAGAGGTTGCAGTGAACCAAGATTGTGCCACTGCACTCCAGTCTGGGTGATGGTTCAAGACTGCCTCAAAAAAAAAAAAGGAGGTCAGCCGGGCGCGGTGGCTCAAGCCTGTAATCCCAGCACTTTGGGAGGCCGAGGCGGGTGGATCACGAGGTCAAGAGATCGAGACCATCCTGGTCAACATGGTGAAACCCCGTCTCTACTAAAAATACAAAACATTAGCTGGGCATGGTGGCACGTGCCTGTAATCCCAGCTACTCAGGAGGCTGAGGCAGGAGAATTGCCTGAACCCAGGAGGCGGAGGTTGCGGTGAGCCGAGATCGCGCCATTGCACTCCAGCCTGGATAACAAGAGCGAAACTCCATCTCAAAAAAAAAGGAGGCCAAGTGTAGTGGCTCACACCTGTAATCCCAACACTTTGGGAGGCTGAGGTGGGTGGATCCCAAGGTCAGGAAATCAAGACCATCCTGGCTAACATGGTGAAACCCCATCTCTACTAAAAATATAAAAAATTAGCCAGATGTGGTGGCACGTGCCTGTGGTCCCAGTTACTCAGGAGGCCGAGGCAGGAGAATCACTTGAACCTGGAAGGCAGAGGTTACAGTAAGCTGAGATCGCGCCACTGCACTCCAGCCTGGGCGACAGAGTGAGACTCTATCTCAAAAGAAAAGAAGAAAAGAAAAGAAAAGAAAAAAAAAAAAAACGAAAAGAAAAGAAAAAGGAAAAGGAAAAAGAAAAGAAAAGAAAAAAGAAATAGAGATTCACTCCTTTTTTCTTGTTTTCTTAAGACAGGGTCTCACTGTCTCAAAGATGCTGCAGTGGCACCATCATAACTCACTGCAATCTCAACCTCTTGGCTCAGGTGATCCTCCCACCTCAACCTCCAGAGTAGCTGGGACCACAGGCTCATGCCATTATGCTCGGCTAATTTTCGTAATTTTTTGTAGAAATGAGGGTCTCACCATGTTGCCCAGGCTGGTCTGGAACTCCTAGGCTCAAGTGATTCTTCTGCCTTTGCCTCCCAAAGTGCTGGGATTACAGGCATAAGCCACCACGCCCAGTTTCTAAGTGTGCTTTAAGAGTTTTAAGAAACATCTCAGGAACTGTGGGTGGCATTCTAGGTTATCCCCAAGGACTGTGGGTACATCTTGGGAGTCTGTTCCAGAGTGTTAGACTGTCTTAGGAGCTGGAGAGGAATCTATCTATTTGTGCCCCTGGGGTCTGTTGGGGCACACTAGATTTTGGTGGCATCTCCATGATTACTGGGGCATCCCCTGAGTCTGACGGCTCTCCTGAGGTTGTCTTAGGGTCTCAACACTTGTAGGGGCATCTCAGGGATGCTACAGAGCCATTTAGGGATTACAGGACATCAGAGGGACTGTGGAGGTGTTCCTGGGGTCTGTGAAAGACTCTAGGATTTGGGGAGACCTATATTTGGTCTATGAAAATGGCCCTGTGGGTGTGGGGGATGCTGGGGGTGCTCTGGGAGGGTCTATGCATGATGGGATGATGAGAGTCGGGGATGATGGGGAGCCCTGGAGGAATCTGAGGAACTGTGGCAAGGGGCCTGGGATCTGAAGGGTCCCCCTGGCCCTCAGAGCACCACTGGCAGGGAGTTTGTAGGAGCACCCCCAGAGATTCAGAGGTGTCCCTGGCATTTGTGGGTGCACCCTGGATTCCTGGAGCACTCTTGGGGCTTGTGGCATGTCTCAGAAACATTGAGGACACTGGCAGGATATGGGGACATCTGGGGAGCTATAGGAGTGCCCCAGGGTCTATGCGGCCATCTCAGAACACCTCTAAGTTGAGTTGAGAAGCCCAGGGATTTGGGGGGTACCCCTGGACTTCTTGTGTGTGGATGTCTCAGGGACAGTGAGGGTGCTCCTTAGCATTCTGAGGGACTGTGGGGCTACTCCTGAGCTTGAGGGACCTGTCGACTCCATGGAGAGTTTGCAGGAGTGTCCCCAGAGATTTGGAGGTGTCCCTGATGTTTGTGGGGACGCGACCGGCGAGGACATCAGAGCCAATGCGGGTCGGCCTTGGGGTCTGTGGGGAATGCAAGGGAGTCCCCGCCGAAGCCTTGCGGACGCCCCAGACCCGCCCCGCCCTGGGGGCGGCCCCAGCGCGAAGCCGGAAGGGCCGAGGCGACTGGGCGGGGTGGGGCCCGCGGGCCCCGGGCTGGGCGGACGGCCTTCGTGGGCCTCGCGGGGTGGGCGGCGCAGCTCCCCAGCGCCCGCCGAGGCGGGGCCGCCCCGCGGCCATGGCGGGGCCGCGCGGCCTAGGCCGCATCCCGGAGCTGCAGCTGGTGGCCTTCCCGGCGGTGGTGGCGGCAGAGGATGAGGCGTTCCTGCCCGAGCCCCTGGCCCCGCGCGCGCCCCGCCGCCTGCGTTCACCGCCCTCCTCGCCCGTTTTCTTCGCCAACTCGTCCCCAACTTTCCGCAGGCGCCTTCGACTGCTCCGCAGCTTCCAGGATTTGGGCCGCCACGCATGGGCTGGGGCTGGGTAAGTGCAGCACTGGTGGCTGTGGGTTCGAGTCACCCCTGGCCACCGCCAGGGTCTGCGGTTCGTGGCTCGCTCTCTCCAGCCTCACTTTCCTCTTCTGTCACATAGCAGCGATCAAAGTCATCTTTGCCCGCCAGGGTTGCCGTGGAGACCTCTGATAGGGCATGCGTTAGACGTTTAATAAATGTTGCATCCCTCCCACTTCCTGTGCAAACCTGAAGCTGTGGTCACGCTTTGGAGGAGTGAGGGCGACTTGCTATCCAGGTCATGTGTTCATCCTGGGGTCGTGTTCAGTTCTGTTAGCCTCAGTCTACTGGCCTTTGAAATGGGGACAGCCGTGCCCACTGGGGGTAGCCTTGCGGTGAGGCTCGGTGTCATTGCTTGCACCGGGCCACGGAGGGCAAATGGAAGTTCCCTTTCTGGCCAGACGGGCGGTGGGCTGTGGGGGCGGGAAGTCTGGGGGTGACAGTCCCCGAGGCCACATCCGGTCTGGCTTTCTAATGTCGGTGTATCTTGGAGGCAGAGGTTGGCAGCCCGGGGTTGGGCACGGGCGCTTCTCAGGGTCCTCTGCCTCTCTGTCTTCCACCTACTTTCTGTATGCACTTGAGGCGCAGACTGAAGGAGGGCATGGCGGGGCAGGACCCGGCCCAGCGACTGGCCCTGGGAACAAAATGGGGCGGGGACAGAAGAGGAGGAGGGGCTGGGGCCTTTGGGAGCCCCGCGTGGGGTCCACAGGGTGTGTGTAGGGAAATTGTTGCCTCTCTCCGGGCCTCTCTCTGCGTCCTGAGTCTCTGTCTCCACTTCTGTCTCTTTTGTCTCTGTTTTGTCTCACTCCTCCACAGTTGCATCTTCCCCTCCCCTGGGTTTATGTCACCCGGGGGCGCACGGCGATCAGAGACCTCGCGGGCCCAGCTCCACGTCAGGGCAGGGAGGGGGGGAAAAGGCGGGGCCGGAGGCGGTGGCAGGAGGGCGGGCCCGGAGCCGGGAAACTGGAGCCCCGGGGCACCCCAGAGGCCTGAGAGGGAGGGGACGGGGCGGGGGGTGAAGGCGGGGGGAAGTGTGCGCCCAGTTCCACAGGACCCTGCAGGGGGAGACGTACGAGAGCCTGTGCGCCCCCCGACCCCGTGCAGACTCAGGAACGCCCGACCCCCCAAGTTTGTCCCGTGGGGGTGTCACCAGAGTCGTGGAGGCGGTGCCGGCAGTGGAGGCCGCAGACACCTTGGGCCTGGCCACCAGCGCGCGCCTCACCGCCCTGCCGCCGTCCCTATGCGCGCCCAGACGACGGCGCTTGGCTCCCATGCGCTCCGGTGCAGCGCCCCGGGGCCGACCCCGGCCCCCTGCCCTGGCACTGTCCCCCACGGGCCCCGAGTCCCTGACCCACTTCTCCTTCAGCGATGAGGACACCCGTCGGCACCCTCTGGGCAGAACTGTCAGGTGGGTGGCCCATGGCCAGTCAGTCCTTTTAATACCGGAGGGCACTGGCTGTGCTGGGGGTTGGGGGTGGGGTGCGGAGTCTACTTGGGGGAGTCCCCTAAGTGGCATCCAGGATCTGGCTGGGGCCCCACCGCCTTTCCTGTCCCCAAAGGCCAGGGGTGCTGCTGAGGGCCTCTTGAAGGTGGCAACCCCCAAAGTGGGTGCTAGGTCCTTTCCTCATTCCTGCCTATCCAAGGTAGGACCCGGCACCCTCTTTGCGCCCCTAAACCAGGGCTTCCAGCATTCACTTTGGCTGCAAATATGGGTGTCCAGCGTCACCTGGGCTCCACTCCCAGGCCACTGGCCTAGAACCAGGTCCCTAAGTCCCTGCCTGGCTCAGTGTCTCCAGCCTTACCTTCCCCACCCCCTCTCCTGCTGGGGCAGCCAGGCTGAAAACTAAGCTGGGGTGGGGGTGGGGAGGGCAGATTCTGGGAGCCTGGAGGGTGTTTAGAATCTGGACTGAGCTGGGCCTGTGGGTGGTCTTTAAGTTCTCAGAATTCTCCGGGCTTCCTAGCCTTGTTCTTGCTCTCTCCTGCCCTGTGGTCTCTAACACACACACACACACACACACACACACACACACACACACCCGGCCACACATAGGGCAATCCGGGTCACCTGGTGTTTACCGTATTAGGTGTGGGTCTCCTGGCGACCCTGCAGTTGACTCATGGCCACACACAGGTGGCACACAGACCACAGCTACCCTGGCCCACCCCTCGCACATATGTGTCTACACTGCGTTCCCCCACAGTGGGGGTGAGAGTGAGACACACTCTCACCAAAATACACACCCAGAGCTCATGCTTGTTCCTGCGAGCTGGACTCCCACCTGCACCAGATACACACAGAAACGGACCTCATGCCCACACAGGGGTCAGGGACTGTCACAGTATCAGTGCGACAGTCCCATGAAGTCACCCAGACTCAGAAATACACAGAGATGCAGACAGACACTCATGAACACCCAGCCCCTGCTCACACACGCAGACGTGCGATGCCACAGAGATGTCTATGTGCAGTGCCTGGGGCACACAACCTTCCCCTCCCCCAGACTCTTACATACCCTATCCCTTCTTGCAAACTCAGCCCCCTAGACAGCTGTGTCACCTGGTACCATGTGCCTGCCTGGGAGACACACACCAGCACCCGCCTTCAACCTCTGTGTGACCTTCACAAAGCAAATGCCAGACCTTTCCATAAAGGCTGCCTGGCACCACCTACAAGTGAGTCAGGTGGAAAAGCTCAGGGAGCGTCGTAGACACCAGGCCTGCCTGCTGTGTGTATGCCACGGGAAGACTCTCGATGCAGCTTTGTAGCTCAGCTGCTTGGGTTCAAATCCACATTCTAGTCTTGGTGTAGTGGCTCACGCCTGTAAACCCGACACCTGGGGAGGCTGAGGCAGGAGAATGTTTTTGGCTTGAGCCCAGGACTTCAAGACCAACCTGGGCAACATGGAAAAACCCCAGTCTCTACAAAATAAATAAATTTTAAAAGAAATCCATTATCTACTACTAATAGCCATGGTATTCATCCTTTCTGAGCCTGAGTTTCTTTCTTTTTTTTTTCTGAGACAGGGTCTCACTGTGTCACCCAGGCTGGAGCTCAGTGAGCAATCTTGCCTCACTGCAACTTCTGCCTCTCAGGTTCAAGCAATTCTCGTGCCTCAGCCTCCCAAATAGCTGGGATTACAGGCATACACCACCATGGCCCAGCTAATTTTTTTGTATTTTTAGTAGAGATGAGGTATCTCTATGGTGGCCAGGCTGATCTCGAGCTCCTGGGCCCAAGTGATCCACCCGCCTCGGTCTCCCAAAGTGCTGGGATTACGGGCGTGAGCCACTGCACCCAGCCTCAGTTTCTTTGTCTGGAAAATGGATCATTAATACATGTTATAGTATAGCACAATGCCTAGTGTGTGGTCTTCACTTAAGTAGTTTTTTTTGAGACGGAGTCTCACTCTGTCACCCAGGCTGGAGTGCCGTGTCACGATCTCGGCTCACTGCAATTTCTGCCTCCTGGGTTCAAGCAATTCTCCTGCCTCAGCCTCCAAAGTAGCTGGGATTACAGGTGCCCAATACCATGCCTGGTTAATTTTTGTATTTTTAGTAGAGATGGGGTTTCTCCATGTTGATCAGGCTGGTCTCGACCTCCTGACCTCAAGTGCTCTGCCTGCCTCTGCCTCCCACCAAAGTGCTGGGATTAGAGGTGTGAGCCACCGTGCCCGGCCTTCCTTTTTTTTTTTAGAAAAGGTCCCCATCTATCACCTAGGCTGGGGTGCAGTGGTACCATCTCTGCTCACTGCAATCTCTGCTTCCCAGGCTCAAGTGATCCTCCAACAGTCATAAGCCATTGATCCTGGCCATAGTTCTTGTTACTATAATCTGTACCAATGTGTTCCCTTCCCCTGGCCCCCTCCCAACTTGTGTGTTTCCCATCAGTCCCTGCAGTAGCCATCCCCAAGGCCTAGACTGTCCCTGGACTGCACAGTACTCAACAGGCCCAATTTCATGCTCCCAAGAGCCCTGGTGAGCAGGCCTAGGGGCCGCTTAGAGGGGGAAACAGGTAGCAACTTCATTTGAGAGCATCACCTGGTGAAACCCCATCTCTACTAAAAATGCTAAAATCAGCTGGGCATGATGGCGGATGCCTGTAATCCCAGCTATTCAGGTGGCTGAGGCAGGAGAATCGCTTGAACTCAGGAGACAGAGGTTGCAGTGAGCCGAGATCGTGCCACTGCACTCCAGCCCAGGTGACAGAGCGAGACTGTGTCTCAAAAAAAAAAAAAAAGCATTACCAATGGTCAGCCTGAGGCCAGGTGCAGTGGTGACACCTATAATCCCAGCACTTTGGGAGGGTGAGACTTTGGGAGGCAGATTGCTTGAGTCTAGGAGTTTAAGACCAGCTTGGGCAACATGATGAAACCTTGTCTCTGCTAAAAAAAAGTACAAAAACTAGCTGGGTGTGGTGGTGTGCACCTGTGGTCCCAGCTATTCGGGAGGCTGAGGCGGGAGGATAGCTTGAGCCTGGGAGGTGGAGGCTGCAGTGCAGCCATGATTGCATGATTGCATGGCTGCACTGCAGCCTGGGTGACAGAGCAAGACCCTGTATCAACACACACACCACACACACACACACACACCCCCCCCACAAATGATTAGCCTTCCTAAGGGGGAGTCTTGGGCAGGTCATTTCACCTCCAGTGGAGTATCTGGGCTGTGGCTGTGATGTAAGGCTGCCAGCTACCCCTGTTCCTGTCCCAGCCTTGGAACCCATGGGGATGTCGCTGGAGTGGCCTCTGGCCTAACTTTGGGCCACCCTGAGCAGTCAGCGGCAAGCCGGGGGGGTGACTGTCCATGGCTCAGGGGTCTGATTCTGGGGCATAGCGGGCCCTGGCTCTCCCGATCCCCACTATCTCCGAGGCAGCAGCTCTGTAACCCCGTCTCCTCCCCTCTGTCCTTTCATAGCCCAGGGGACATCCGCTCCTGAAGCACAAACAGCACAAACAGCAGGGCCCCAGGGAGCGTCCTCTTCCCATCCAGGCCTCTGGGCTCCTGATGATGTGAGCTGAGTCCCTTGGGGCTGGTGGATCTGCTGGGATGCTAGCAGGGTATCCGGTTGGGAACAGGGTCTCACCTTCCTAAACTGCGGCTTAAATTCCTGGGCCGGGGAGTTGGAGGTGAGGCATCCTCTATGTGTAGCTATGTTTTTCTCTCCTTCTCTGGAGCTGAAAAAAATCTACACTGGGCCTTAGAAACAGGACATGGTTCTCAGAAGTGAAGCCACCAACCCTTTGTCTCCTTAGGCATGCGAATGTTAAGAGGACCTACTATATGTTAATTTATAGGGTGGGTTGGAGCCCTCTATGGGTTAATGTATATAAACCACTTTCATAGTGCCAGGCACACAGCAAGCACTCAATATAATGTCTTGTTATTATTACTTTATGCTTGAAAGGATCTAATCTGGCACCCAGGACACAGCAGGTGCTCAATAAATGGACATAATCAGCCGGGTGTGGTGGCTCATGCCTGTAATCCTAGCACTTTGGGAGGTCAAGGTGGGTGGATCGCAAGGTCAGGAGTTCAAGACCAGCCTGGCCAAGATAGTGAAACCCCATCTCTACTAAAAATACAAAAATTAACAGGGCATGGTGGTGTGTGCCTGTAATTCCAGCTACATGGGAGATTGAGGCAGAGAATTGCTTCAACCCAGGAGGCGGAAGTTGCAATAAGCCAAGATCACACCACTGCGCTCCAGCCTGGGCAACACAGTGAGACTGCATCTCAAAAATAAAAATAAAAAAATAAATGAACATTATCGGCTGGGCGCGGTGGCTCAAGCCTGTAATCCCAGCGTTTTGGGAGGCTGAGGCACGTGGATCACCTGAGCTCAAAAGTTCAAGACCAGCCTGGCCAACATGGTGAAACCCATTTCTGCTAAAAGTACGAAAATTAACCGGGCGTGGTGCTGTGCACCTGTAGCCCCAGCTACTTGAGAGACTGAGGCAAGAGAATTGCTTGAACCCAGGAGGCAGAGGTTACAGTAAGCTGAGATCATATCACTGCACTCCAGCCCACATGACAGAGTGATAGTCTGTCTCAAAAATAAATAAATAAATAAGTGGACATTATCGTCAAAGGCCCAAGCTGATGATCTATGAGTATCTCACCTCAAGAGTGTTTTTTTGTTTTATGTTTTTTGAGATGGAGTCTTGCTCTGTCGCCCGGGCTAGAATGCAGTGGCGTGATCTTGGCTGACTGCAACCTTTGCCTCCCAGATTCAATTCAAGCAATTCTCCTGCCTCAGCCTCCCAAGTAGCTGGGATTACAGGTCCATACCACCATGCCCTAATTTTTGTATTTTTAGTACAGACAGGATTTTACCATGTTGGTCAGGCTAGTCTCAATCTCCTGACCTTGTGATCCGCCTGCCTTGGCCTCCCAAAGTGCTGAGATTAC